CGTTATAGTTAAAAGTTAACATGACGTGCAGCTGAGATGATTTTTTTTTTTTTTTTGGTGAAAAACTATAAATGTTAATTATAAGAGAATTAAAATAACACCCTGAATAGCCTCTGATGAATGCAGAGGGTGCATAGATATTTTCCAACTTAGACCCCCTGGGGACAAAGATTAATGGTCAAGAGTGGTTGTGTGGTATAATGAATTAAACAAAGAGAGACGTAATCAAATTCGTGGAGGTAGCTTATTGGTGGTGAAACTTCTTAGCAGTTCGCTTTCGCAATTAGGATAATGATCAGTTGACAAATAATTCTAGTAGCGCACTGCAAGTTATCAGGACTGGATTAGATATCTCTCTTCTTTTTTTATGTGTGCGTGGGTGAGAGAGAGAGAGAGAGAGAGAGACCCTGCAACAATACTTCTGACCCACACAGTTGAAAGCAACCTTTCTTTCCAGGCATCACTGTAGAAGATTTAAAGATATAGCTGACATTAATCTGCTAAAATAGTCCAACTATTGACCAGGCATATCAATGTAAGAAGATACCCAAGAATTACATTTAGGTACGGTACTATAAGTTACCGTAACATAAAAACAAGAGTATAATTCAATCTTCGTAAGGTTATTAAAAAAATAGGATTGTTCGGATGCACTTTTAACATTTTAGAATCAATCGTCACATTTAAAAAAAGTTCTCGTATTTACTTAAAATGAGAAAATCTTAAAACCATTCTAGAAGTTACTTAAGAACTGCTAGAGTTGGAATTATTACCAAATGCCAGCTTGTTCCAAAATGGATCCACAAGCAAAAGGGAACGAAAACCAATTCTAAGAAGTTATACCATTTGATTGTTAACCATAACAAGCTATTAGATTAGAGAAATCAAGGTCCAAGATGCACATGTATCCCACAAAAGAACCAATTGTACAGAATTCAATTAGGTTCAACTTCAAAAAGACTCGTGGATTAAGCACATTCGCTTTTAAATTATAATACATATAACATTCTGTCACTAAATCCTTCCAAGCAGTTGCGGAGCACTATCTGCTTAACCATTTTGTAAGCTCAAAAGACAGACGTCATAACCATTATCACAAATAAAAACAACCAAGCAGTAATACATACGTTAAGACAGATACAAATCCCCTTTAATAAAAAGCAAATTTTTTGGAGGGACATCACAAATTCTGCTATAGTGAACCATAGATGGTGCTTATGTAAAGAACAGAAAACAATGCCAAAATAGTTCCTCACCAAGTTTCACTTTGGATCAGATGACCGTATGCCATGGCGCTTGAAGAATTCTCTAAATCCATAGGCACTTTGGTCATAGTTGAACTGGAAGTACACAAAGAACAATCAGACAAACACTTTCAATCAGGCACATAACATAATGCTTCAGTAGGGCTTATCGTACGATGATCCTACTGGCTTAGATACAAAGATATGTTCAAACAGTTATTTGTATAAAGGATGATGTCTATCAGCATCAAGAGGAGATAGAATACATGCAAGGCCAATATTCTGTCAACAATGTTTAGGAAATTGCATAGACGTCTTTAAGATAAACACATCAATAAGTAAACAGAGTGAGTGATCAGCCCCTTTTATCAAAGGATATAAGGTGCAGAATTATGACTATTTCCTGCTAACTCAGGTTGCAAAAAATACTAATGATATAATTCACATGATTGGAATAAAGGCTCCATTCCAAAAAAAAGAATAAAAGGCTCCACAAAAAGAATAAATCAACAAATAAATAGGTGGAACCCAGGACAATTATTTGAATGTCTTAATCTTTATCAAATGGGTATATACTTCCTTTCCACTGAAAAAATAGAATTGCTGGATTAGGAATAAAAAAATTTCTGTCTGCCTGACCACCGATGGAAGGTTCAAAAGTAGAAGATGAAACATGAGTGCGTGTCTAGTACCTAAAGAACAAAAGGAAAAGAATAGAAAGAGAAAGAAAGTAAGAGAGAAGAAATTTTCTTGTTTTTGTCTAATCAGCTAGTCATATTTTGGCTAGAAGGTTTTGGAGTAGTTTTTAAAAGACTCATTCATGAGCACCAAAGACTTCACATGCAGAGTGAATCAGGTGGCATTTCTCCATTTGAGTATTATCCCACCTTCTAAAGTTCCATTTTTTAGATGTCAACAGCTCTGCAGATGAGATCACTATTGGGGAGCACAGGAGGTACCACCCGGCCTCGAGACCTATGGCCCCTAGGAAGCAAACTGATTTTGGCAAGAATTCTCACGTCTTTGTCCTATGACTAAAAGTAATATGGATATGGAGAATAAAAATGTTCTTTTTCCCTTTAAAATTGAACCTTTGGTTCCTCGAGTATGCATAATCCCCAATTATCAAATCTTATAGTGAATATCAAGCAGTTGAGCGGTCCTCAAATCAGGAGGTCCAACATTAGTATAAAAGTGACCCTTCATTAAGCTGGTGAAAAGAGATGTATTATGTAAAAAGCATCTTCAGTGTTCTACTCATCAAGGTCGAGATTGCGCATCATGCATCATTGTGTATGTCAGAGGGAAAATTATATCGAAAGGACTTGGTATGTGGATACTAAGATAGGTGAAGATTGAGCAGCTGGGCCCTGGGAGGACTAGCACATTAGTTACAGACTAGTAGAGTCCTTTTTGAAATAAATGCTCAAGTTTTGATTTTAGGTTTTATCTCAAAACAATAGAAGCTCCATGTTCAATATGTTATAGCGTAGAGAATACAAAAGAGGAATAATTCACGTAAATTTCACATTAGTTAAATTCACGAATGGATGAGCTCATATCATAAGCTAGCATGCCATTTTGGTTTTCAGCTCTAAAGCACGCTATCTATCTGACTTCCTGCTTGGGATCGACCTAGATGCAATAGATAGGAGAAAGCCTGTTAAGAGTATTACTATAATAGTATTAGGGTTCACACTTATTGTAATATGTATACCACACAAAAGGTATACTTGTCTTTTGTATGTTTGTTCAGTAATTATAAATACAAGTTGATAGTAAGAGGTAGGGTAAGTCAAACCCCTCTTTACCTCTCTTATATTGTGTTAAGTCTGCCTTTACTCTAAACTTAACATGGTATCAGAGCAAGATGTCATGTATTCGAATCTCGCCGCCACCTTAATTATTAAAAAAAATTTCACCTGCTAGACCCAAAATCTAATTTGCACGTGAAGAGGCATGTTAAAGTATAAATACTTGAGTTACACCCTCTCCAACAACTTAAGTTTTTAGAGTAGATGATTATTTTACATGGTATCTGACTATTACCCAACCAGATATTGTCTGTGCAGTCAGTGTGGTAAGCTAGTTTATGGGATGCCTTAAAGTACCATATTGGAATGCAGTCATTCACATTCTTCGATACCTCAAATAGGCTCCTGGTCTTGGGTTAGTATATCGAATTAATGAACATCTGAAAGTACAAGATTTTTTAGATGTTGATTGGACTAGTTCTCCCTCTTATTAGAGATCAACCATTAGTTATTATACTTTCTTAAGAGGTAATGTTGTTTCATGGAAGAGTAAGAAGCAAACAATGGTAGCACGATCCAGTACTGAGGCCGAGTATAGAGTAATGACACATACAACTGGTGAGCTGACACGGTTACTACCCTTTCTTTGGAAAATTGACTTTCCAGTTCAACTTTTTTTACAGTGTTCTGTGAAAATCAAGTAACTCTTCATATTGTTGTCAATCCCACATTTCATGAGAGGACCAAACATATTGAAGTTAATTGTCACTTTATTCGAGACAATATGCAACTCCATTTTTGAGATCTGAGGCCCAACTTGCAGACATGTTCACCAAAGCATTGAGTCGTACTCGTCTTATAGTCATCTGTTCTAAACTTGGATTATACGATATATATAATCCAACTTGAGGGAAAATGTTAAGAGTATTACTATAAAATTATTAGGCTTCACACTTATTGTAATATGTCTACCACACAGAGGGTATACTTGTTTATTGCATGTTTGTTCAGTAACTATAAATACAAGTTGATAGTGAGAGGTAGGGCAAGTCAAACCTCTCTTTGCCTCTCTCATATTGTGTTAAGTCTGCCTTTACTCTAAACTTAACAAAGCCCAAAAAGCAATTGTTTTGTGGTCATCTAGGGAGCTTGTTTCCTTTTTGTGTTGTTCATTTTAAATTTGTTGTTCCTCAAACCTTGTCCAGGAAAAAAAATATTAATAGGAAGGGAGTTCACATGATAGGATGACATAATAAAGCACAAATCAATAAATTTCTTGTATGTGCAAACAACTATAGTTATCTGCTAACACTCCAATAAAGTTTGAAAATGGAAATGCCATTTCACATGCTATTAAAAAAATATGCCAACAGCTGTGCCCCGGGACTATAGACATCAAGTGTAAAATCAACGAATTGAATTTAAAATCCTTCTCAAACCTATGTTTCTGAAAAAATGAGCAAAAGAGATCAGGCAAATGATTATTTTTTTTCCCTTTTTTTTATATATAAACAACACCTAGACCTGCAAATGATCTTCTTTTTTTTTTGGGTCCATAAATAAAACAACCAATCCATGTTGTGCTGTCAAATGCAAGAATGATGCCAAGTTTCTATATCAGCTAAACTAAATCAAAGAAGATAGCATGCACACTTGTCAAGTCAATGTTGGTAATGGCAAAGAAGCTCCAAGACTCACAGGTAAAACTTTCACAGAATACTTGGTAATATTTGGATCAGCAACCTTTCCTTGATTGGCCGCCTGGACAAGAAAGAATACAAATTACTGAATGTGCTTCCAACATGCACTCAAATGGTAATGACAGGCATATGAGAAGGAATCATTTCTTCAAAATTTTGGCACCAATCAATTCAAGAAAAAGAACATGAAGAAGAAGAAAAACTACATCTGAATTACCTTATGTCTGCAATGAAAATGAAGCCATCATATTTTTCTACTTACTAGACAAATCGTTATTCATAGTTCAACTGTGTCAGCTATAAAAGCCAACATGATAGGTATAAAATATCCTCAATCACCAAGCTGTATCCAAAATTACAGGAAAAGCATGTGAGAGTCGTTGTAAAGGAACATCAATAAATTTTGAGAGGGCATACTGTTCACCCAAAAGAAGCAAATCACTGTAACCAAATTCTAGAATTCTGCACAGTACAGTACTGCATCCATACATTTTCAATTCACTAAAGAATTGAGAACTGAAAGACAGATATACTTATATGGTACCACAACAACAAGAAGACCAGAATGTCAAGTAAACCTACTTGTTCTGGGCCATGGAATATTTCGATAAACGGGTATTCCTTCCTTTGGCGCGTTATGCAAAATCCAGGATATTTGGGACACTCAACCTGAAATATTTCACCAGAAGAACCAAAAGGCATGAGCAACATCAAGAATGCTTAGGTTAAAAAATAAGAATTCAATGTTCTCGGATAGCTTCATTTGCAAACATGCACTTTCATGCATGCATGCATGCACACACACACACACACAAACATAGATTCCTTCACTAAGCAAAATCTCAAACTGTACACATCTACTGTATGGATGGCCAATAGAAATGCATACAGTGCCCCAAATTTTTTTTTGTCATGCTTCTGAATCATTTGGACAATTTCTGACAAAAGGTATTATGTAATATTCTGGTCTATATATATGCCCTAGAACCTATGATCATCCACGAAGTATGACTACCATAATCATTTACCAGATTAGATATAACTTACACGCATGAATTTTATATGCGGATAAAACTCAACAGCAGCTTCCTCTAGTACTTTGTCAAGATGTTTTGTGTAATTACACCTACAAAGTCAAGAATTCAAACAAACAAAACAGAACAAGATGGATAGTACAGTGAAGATGGGAGAGAATAACGAGAAGAAAAGGACTGGACATCAATCTCAACTCACCTGATGGTAAATGCAACAACCACAGGGTAGCCTTCATGTAGAAGATGAACAAATTCCCGCTCTGAAGAAAAATGAATGACCCTCGATGACCCCAGATCCTTTGGATACCCAGTGTAATACCTTTGAAATTTGGCAAACAATTCAGTTATGGCAGGTGAGAAAAGATATCCTCCTGAGTGAAGAAAAACTCATTGGAATTGTATCCATGCAAGTGTACAAATCCAGTGGGATATTACATTTGAGAAACTCTGCAGCCATTTGGCACTCAATATCAATTCAGTAATTCTGAAAATCACAAAATAATATCTCCTAAATGAGTAAGACAGCCATGCAGGGAATCCATGCCCCGCGGATCATATGTTGGACACCAACACAGTTTCCAATTTGTCTGGTCACACATTGGCAGCACAACCCAAAAAATTCATTCTTTTAACTCCTAGTGCACACATGAATGACTACATGATTAAACGATTATTATATTTCTAATTTTGAAAAATGGATAGTAATGTGAGAGAAAAATCCTGAAATTTTTATCATAATGATAGAAGGAAAATAACAAAAATGATGCTACCACAGAACAAGTACTACTCGATAGAATTCCATCACAAATTATATCAACATTCAGATTGTGTAATTAACAGGAACAAGTGAGGAATAAGAAAACAAAGGAATTGCATAACACAAAATCATTTTATGAGGAAAAGGATACCAACCAACAAGCAATGGAAAACAAACCAATAAAGGCTGTAAGAAGAAATATGATACACATACTTGCACTTTGCACGGACATTAGTCATCATCTTCTCGAAAAACGAAAGCTCCCCCATCAGCAGAAAGTTGATAATACTGCAAAATTTTACTATTTACAATCAAATGCTTCTGTTTTGTACCAGCGGTTTAAAAAATGTATGATATCAAATCCAGTTCTGTAACTGAAATTCCAAAGAAGTTTTCCAAACATGTGTCCACAGATTATATAAAAAAAAAATTCATCTCTCAGAAATTCGAACAGCCATAAACCTACACAAGGTATTCACAGATTCAACGTCTCCTCTCGCCCCACACCCACAACAGCTAAGGCCTACAGTCTCCTTAACCACTCCATCATCTATCAGGCTTTTGAACATGTGTCCTTAACTTCGTTGTGACATAGAAAGCATAGGTAGGGATTAAACTGAGGCAAGCACACATGACCAATACCTGGAGGCTGGATGATTAGGAGAGGTGGTCTAAGTGAGAGTACTCGAGATACTAATTAACCGAGAGACAGATGTGAGGTAGGTAGGCACAGTGACTGTGCTCTCACCTACCGGACATTAGTCTTTATGTTTGCTGTCCTATGGCAAGTAAGTAATGAGAGGTATACATAACCCAGATATAGAGAGTTCGTTTCAACCATGTTGGGTTACAGGGTCAGGATTTTATGGGCTCCCACAGAAAGCACACAATATGTTTGTGGAAATGTAAGAGAGAACTAGAACTATTTAGATACCTAGATACGAGAGAGCTTGAAATATTGTCAACTAAGTATGAACAGAACTGTTAGAATTCATGTGCCTGAACGAATTTCATAGCCATCTCTGCCCTTATTTGGCTGGTTCATGCCAATGCTCCTAAGTTTCATTGGAAATGATAGACTTAAAGTTCAAAGACGACTTACCCGGAAAATGTTATCAAATCAAACAACACAAATTGTTGGAAAACATAGATTTATAAAGCACTTTTGGGTGGTAAGGCACCCATCAAGTAATCTTACAAAGAAAGGAAAATTTGAGGTTTCTTCAACATAAAACTCATAGCCATGCACAACGCATACGTATAGGAAAAATTGAATTTTCATCAACATAAAATTGTATGCATATATATACGCATATGACTATACTATGGAAGAGTGGAGGGTATACTTACTCTTGTTTTGACTAGTCACAGTGTGCCTCTGCCTGAAATTTCGGACCTTACTGGGTGTAGCTGTGTCTCTGTTTGAGAGAGAGAGAGAGATGAAGTGAAAATGATGGTCTCGGGACAGGAGAAGTAAGGCCGGCTTGAATCGTGAGGCTTAAAGTTCAGAATGCTGAAACCAACACACAACAGATTAGGCTTATACTACCGGGTAATGTTATTAAAATTGGACCGGTCATCAAACCGGCCGGTTCAATTGTTGAGTCAAATGGTTGGATCGATCGTGTAATAAAAAAATAATAATTTAAATAAAAAATATAAAATATGCCTATAATACATACAATTTATCATAAAATTAATGAAATCAAATATTCTCTCCGTTCTTAAATATTTGTCGTTTTACACAATTTTTTTTGTTCTATTATATATGTCGTTTAATGAAACCAAAACATAATTAATATTTTTTCTTCTAAATTTACTCTTAACTTTTTAATGCATTATATTTGGTGGAGACTAAGTGTCTTTCATATTCCTTTCTTGCCCAATATGTATTGAAAAAATATATTTTAGTTTTGTGCAATTATTTTTTACTCATATTAGAGTTATTTAATAATTTCTTTAATCTATGTAAAAAAAATTTAGACGACAAATATTTAACAACGGAGAGATTATCAAATCAATATTCATAAAATTCAGAATCTCGATCACTATAAAATTAAGAATCTTAATCTCAATCCCAATCACATCAAAATTTACAATTTCCAATAAAAATTACCACAAATCATTATCATCTAAAAACTCAAAAAATGACATATATAAAGAATACGTGTGTCATTCCCAGATGGGTGACCAATAAATTCAGCCACGACTGGTTGCCCCTTCTATCCTTTTAGCAAAGCTTTAAAAAAAAAAACACACAACACACACAAAGGTATCGCTATACAAACTCCCCCCTCAACATTGCTCTCTAAAGAACTGGCTCCTGTCCCATCTCCAAAATTAACCATGAATTACATTCTGCACAACTATTTACTGGGGAAACAATTAGGAAGCGTACATAAGCTCCACACTGGGCAAGGTCGCTTGGACTGAGTTGAAGACAGAGAGAGAGCGCGCGAGACAGAGTGGGCTTCCTGTTCGTTGCCTGGAATGGAGAAGGAGATCGAAGTCTGAGGGCCTTCGCTGCTTATTCGTCGCCTGGAGAAGAAGAAGAGGACTGGAACTGGACTCTTGCTTGGGTCTTGGAAGTTGAAGAAGAGAGGCTGATTCAGAGAGTTCGAGTTGAAGCAGACTAGCAAAGAGATGTTCGTCGGTGAAGCAAAGATCGAGTTGAAGACGAATAGGCAGCGATTTGAAGAAGAGAGGCTGGGTTAGGCTGGGATTTGGGCAGCAATTTGAAAGAAGATAGGCTGGGATCGAGTTGAAGAAGAGAGGCTGGGCAAAATGGCCAAAACAGATTTTTTTTTTTTTTTTAACAATTGCAATCCAACCGGGCGCGAGTGGTGATGTGATACTAATCTGGGGTGGCAATTGGTCGTGCGGTGTTATTTTGTGCTTGTGTTAAGCCCTAATCAATTTTAATTTAATTTATCATCATATTAAACTATTTATTTTTGTATCGTATTTATTTTGACCCATATAACCTCTAAATTAAAAAATATATATCTAAAATTTCTTTATCACTTAATCAAATCGTACTTTTTCTATAAATTAAAAATTAACTTAATAAATATAATAATAATAATGAGTTAAAATATTTTTTTTGTACAAAAATTAAATCACTGCTTGATAAAATATAATAAAAAATAATATTTTATTCTTATAATAATACTTAAACATGTTAATTGTGTTAATTTTATATTTTTTGTATTTAACACTAACTCAACACATTTATTATTCGTATTAATACTCATGTCATATAATATTTCATGTTGAAAAATAATCAATCCTGTTACCGTATTGATTTGAGTCATGTTCTCGTGTTACTTGACAAATTGTTATCCCTGCCTATTACGCCGGAGAGAAGAGGATGAAGAGTGAGATTTGGGCCGGAGGGAAAGGGGGGAGGAGGGGGTTTGCGTTTCAGGCGACAGAAGGACACAAAATCTGGGAAGGGGTTATTGTTTCATTTCAGTTACTCGGTGATCACTTGTATTGCACGTGACTAATATAGAGTGATGGCAGAAAATTAAAGCATAGTATTAATTGAAAAATGTTCAAAAATGAAAGGCAGCAATCCACGAAATTTGAAACAATATAAATAAGCAACTTATATCCAATATAAAAGTTCGCTCCATTGTGACCTAAACGTCAGGGTCTCAAGTCATGAAAATCACCTTTGTGCACGGAATAAAATTCCGTACATCTAAACATCCCAAGCGCCGCAGTGATGAAAATATTGTGCATTAAACATCCATTTTTTACCCATTCTCCAAAGAGTACACATCAACTTCATAGCATCTTCATGGCTTAGGCTTCTCCACAATCGAGTCAAACAGTCCAGCCAGACCAAGCATGGGGCAAACTATGATTGGTATTATACAAACAGTGAAGAATACAATATAGAGCAACATACAAACCATCCCCAATCCTTTGTCCCTCAACTCTAATTTCCTAGCAATTTGGCCTACTTCATAAAATGTAAAGGGAATTACAAGGCATTCCACCATTACAGAACTTAGTAGCAAAATTTCTAGGAGTGGAAGAAACTAGGAGTCTCTCCTTTATACTAGTTATCTTTACATCTCTTCCATACATATTTTCTTTGGACAAATACGTTTATCATCATATTATCTTATTCCAACAGATTATAAAGAATATAACCACCACACCACTGAACATAGATGACCAACTTAAGTTACCGGTCATAACCCATGGCTACAACTGGAATCCTGACCTTGTGCCCTCTGCTTCCTTTCATTAAAACCTCCCCAAAACTGTATGTCCCTCGTACTGATCGAACAGTGAGTGTTATGGTAAACTTCCGTGATCCACCAGGTCTCAGAGTCATTGCTGGAGGGCTGGTTTCTATGGCCACTTCTGGTGCCATCCTTGCCGTGATCACATAAGTTTCTTCCTCGGCAACATTTGTGACGGTGCGTGTGACTGTCTGAGTTCCGACAAGATGAGAAATTGTGACCGACGGCGTGTTGAGATTTGAAGGGTGGCCAAGAGTGTAGTTGCAGGGTGCATTGGTGTAGTTCTTTATCTCATGAGCATCTATCCCAGGTATGGTGCACAAGAACCCCAAGTAGTCTTCATATCCTGCAAAATTGAATCAAACAAAACAAACTTTTTAGTGACTGGGACATGTCAGTGAAATCCGTGGAATCACTTTCCAATATCTAGTGAATGCACATCCATCATTCAAAAATATTAGGTTCACATATTTTTAGTTCCCTGTGCTCTTCAATTCTGACATAAGTTCCTCATTAGGTAACCCTTTTTATTGGAAAAGTCCCATCACGTAACCCTTTAGTTATATATATAAATAAATTACCCACTCCCTTGCTCCTTTGGGGCACATCAGCTCTCTGATTCCTATGCTGTTAACCATTTTGACCTTCCATAATTAGACTTTAAAAACAGGAGAAATAAGGGGCCTAACTCAAAAAATCTTCCATCAGATCACTGATCATTCGGTCTCAATAATTATCCTTGCTTGGTCTAACTGTGAAAATATCACTCCAAAATCAATAGCACTGAATAATTCAGATTGCTGAAACAGTATTTGAAGGTGAGTTTTCCAATTTGATCACTGCCATTCAGTGAACATGATAACTGAAAAATTAGGTCCAGCTTGATTGAAAATTTTATGCCTATAAAATGAAAAAAAAAAAATTCAGCAGACTTAGTTTCACTTGAACAATGCAATTAAATGAAGGCAGCATTGATTTTTCCCCGAATATTCAGAACTTAACAAGGATATTACCAATGGGTCTTTAGTCCAATGGTACTCCTTACCTTGTGAAAACTTTGTCTAAGTCAAGGGTTCAAGCCTCTTTCCCCCTCCCCCCAAAAAAAAAAAAAACAAGGATATCAAAGATCGCCTTGGTCTTTTGTCAATAAAAAGATCAGATCTTCAAAGTACTTTAAAATCAAAATTGAATCACAATTTCCCCTACAGAAAATATACTTCGGGTAAGAATTTTGATGTTCCACTTTGAACCACAAATCAAGCCCTAGAGGATAGTTTTGTAATATATATAATAGCAGGGAGGAAACTACGTGTCTCAGCGGGATTGACTCAAACAAGTCATGCGAGACTTGGGGTTTATACGTATCATATAACTGTATCGTTTCACAGGGTGTCCGATTCAGCCGACTCATATCGGTATCGGCCAAATCTTTAAATCATGATCCCAACCCAAGAGATTAAAAAAGTTTCAAATTGGATTATTTTAATTAAAATTAGTTAAAAAGCTCCCCCATGAATTACCATCTCGATTAAATTTATTAAGCAAGCTCACTGGACACAAAGTTGTGCCAGATCATGATATAAAAGAACACAGGACAGAAAAAAAACCTGCATCAAAAATGAGTCCAGGATCAAGAGCCGCCTTGGGATTGACATGGCCACTTCCATAATCAAAAGGTGTCGCTGTGACCAGACTCATAGTTCCGGATCCAGAATATTGTTGGGCTTGAAGAGGTCTCTCTGCTCTGTCAATTGTAGTAGAGGTTGTCATTAAAGCTGATTTGATGGCAGCGGGGCTCCAGTGAGGGTGCTTCTGCTTTATGAGAGCAGCTATCCCTGATATATGGGGGGCAGCCATGCTAGTGCCAGATATCATAGCAAATCCTTCTCCTGGTCCAAGATAAAAAATCTTTCTTCTTCAATGATTTTTGTAGCATGCACATACATTTATTCATAAAGGAAAAAAAAAACGCAAAAGTATCTTAATAGATTTTTTCTTTCTTTATTCAGCAAATGAGGTTCTAATAACCCCCCCGCGGATGTCTATATGTAGTATCCAAGGAAATAGGTATAGAATAAAATATTTGAAGCTCATCATGTATTTCCCTTCCTCTGTCGTAACCAAAGGGAGCATTGAGTTTTGCAGATACCATAAATCAATTTCCTTTTCGGGGCAGTCCGGTTCAAGCTGATAGGAGATACAAACCTCAAAGGCTCAAACACTTTGTATCTCTGTCCCTTGAGTGGCCAATGCTGTAAATTTGTTCTAATTCTGGAGTCATAATAGTTCAATATAGCCTTAAACATTTGAAGTTTTCTTTTTATTTTTTATTTTTTTGGTGAACACATTAAGCTTAAACCCATATCTGAATCATCTAAACCAAAAGAGAGCTATGTTAACTGGAAAGGTGATTGTTTACCAAGATAGTTAGCTTCGTCGGTCCCATTAGGAGCCCAGGCAGCCCAAATCAGATTTCCAGGAGCTAGAATATCTGGTTTAAGAAGATCAGCATCTTGGAAACTGTAATCTTTTATATTTGGCCCTCGAGCAGAAAACAGAGCCACTTGCGGTGCTGATTTGTAGAGTATAGGTTTCAACCCATCTGCAATGCTACCTACAGCTTTGAAACTCTTCACGCGTCCAGTCCAATCTCTTGATGTAGAGATGTTGTAGTAGTCAATTAGCTCCTAAAACCAGTGATTCCCATGCAGCACATCAATAGAATCACCATGTGAAGCAAATAAACGTAAAGAAAATAGATAAACAAATAAAGTACAGAAAATAATGGGGGATGATTATCAGGTAGGATTGAGCTAACATGCAACTACAACATGCCAAAATTCAAGTTTTGAGGTAAGGAACACTGATAGTACTTTTCACGTTTCCTTCCAATGTCAGATCTTTTGTCCTGTCCATTGCTGACAATTGTTATTTTTTAAGAGACTATGTATGGAGCAGCTCATAATTAATCACACACTTTATTCCATATCACAGCCAAGGATCACCATCATTTTTAAAAAAACAACTCTGAACTTCATGTCATAAAACAAAGAACAGAAGACTTAACAACAATGGCCAGGTCAATTTTACCCACCCCATACAGAACACTACCACATATTATCAACCACCAAAACACTAAAAAGAGTCGTTATATTTACCATTGACTGGCGAACATCTGTAATCAGAATTCCAGGAGTACCAACAGGGACAGGATCAAATTTTGTTCCTGGAGAAACATTTTCTACGGCAAGAACAAACCCAATTGCACCAAGGCTCTTGGCTGTTTCTGAGACTTTCTTGATTGATGCAGTACCAACAACAAAATTGAACGAATAGCCACAAAGAAGAATATTTCCCTCCACCAAGTTTTTGTTAAGAAGTTCTGGTCTCTGGCAATCTGATGGGCTATACTTCATAACAGAAGAATCCAATAGAACGTCATTAGCTGCAATCAAGGTAAATGTTCGATTTGCATGCGTAGCAGCTGTCGTAAGCCATGAGAAATGCTTCAGTTTCAGAAAGCCACAGCTATATCAACAGAAACTAGCAGAACATTGTATAGAAAACAAGCTGGCTGATGAATGAGCCTACTAATGAAGAAATGCACAAAAACACTCCCCTACAGCAGCAATAGGGCCCACATGCTTTTAAGCCCAATTCCTAAACCCAACTGTTAACTCTTGAATAGTCGATGTAAGTAGGATCTTGAGACTTCTGCATCAAAAAGAGGTCCAAACATGGTACTTACGCTTTCGTTTTCTCTTAGGCCGTATGATGGGATTATTGCTATTTACTCCTTTTTAGCACTTCTTAGAGTCATAACCATAAACCATCAACCATCAACCTCCCAGTGCTTCTCTAATTTATGTCCAATTAGAGGTTGTACTTAAGCAAGTATCTGAAAGGACAACTCTAGACTATGGACTCAAACTGGGGAAATATAGAATGCCTTAGACACTATTGCAGCCAATGTATGACTTCTCATAGTAATAAGAACAAAAGTAAAAGCGAAGAAGTTTGATTTCAAGAACAATAACTTCTAAAAAAAACTTATCCAAACGAAAAGAAAAAGAAAAGTTGAACTACATTAGTCATATGGGTAATTTTCCTATACTCTTGGTGACTGTTTGAGAAAGGCTCATCAACCAGTTTGGCACCTGCTAATCTATGATACAGGGTAAAATTCACTAGGAACAAACCTACCCTTTGCATTATTTGCATGAAGTGGCTACCCATATTCGAAATCACAACTGACAAGTATTTGCCCGATATTTTTACCACTGCATTAAATAATAGCCCTATTCTCTACGATATATGGACCAATCACGGGCTTGGGACTAATAGCCAGCAAAATATCTGGGAAAGAATTTGAATCCATCATAAAGGATTTCACCTCCCCATCTTTCGGAGTCTCATGCTTAAGTGCTCAAGAAATTCAACCTATCCTCCTTCATTATCAACACAGTCTACCAATCAAAAACAAATCACAAGCAAAAAAAAATTGCATTCTCAGAAATACTCTGGCCCTAGGTGTTCCTGAAATTTGTACCACCACCATAGATAAGCATAGCCGCAATTTCATCCACATTAACTTCATGTTCTCTATAGTAATATTTTGTTTGTAAATTAATCCAATAAACTTAAATACAAAACGATTGCTGATTTCCTAAAAAAAAAAAAAAGGGGGGGGGGGGGGGGGAGAATCCTTGGAGGAAAGATGATTGGTCATGCAACGAGAACATTCTCCCCAACAATGCCCCTGTGACAGCAACCTTACCAGAGGATGAGCCATCTATTCTGAACTAAACATAAACCCCCCAAAATCTGTTTAATATGTAGAATCTATCACTAATGATGCTGGAATATTTGTAACCAAGTAGAAAAAATAGCCACCTAATTTGAAAGTAAATTTGGTGCATAATTCTTCCTGATTCAAACTAAAGCACTGCCCTGAAAGATTCACTATAGCATCATACCAGCCAAGCATTGAGAAGTACATGTGATCATTAGACCATCAGTCTTTCAAATACAATAAGCTCTCAATGTTTTATTTCTTTCCTGACACTCTCGCTATTATAATTTAATTCTCAGTCTAGACAGCGTAATGGTCTTCACATTGCTCAGACCATAAGTCCTCACAATTTCACAACCAGGAAGAGAAGATACAAACCACGTTCGTGTGCGTGTTGTCCTGTTCTAAGGTTATGCAAACTCCAAATTCATGGCAACAACTAAAACTTACTAAGCAATCTTGTTGCAGGTGAGACGTAGGACCTAATTCATGCCTTCACAGATGCATTGTGGAATCAGCCCAGTTAAAGATTTTGAAAGACAAAGTTGCAGATCAATTGAAAGTTTACTGGGCTCCCTCCCACCCTATCACGCTTTTCATAGTCCCTCACCAATTAATATTGTTGTCATGGAGTATAGAAAACCTGGTCTCCTGATCCCAAACAAAGGAAAAACACGTTTATCAACACCTAGTCTGGAGATACTTTGCAGAATAAGTCCACTTGCATCTAGAACATCAGTACAGGCCACTCTAACACAAAGTGCATGAAACACTTCCTCTCCGAACCAATCTTGAGACCATAATAGGAATTAGGAGCAGGGGCAGATTTACACTGGGGGCAGTGGGAGCAACTGCCCCCAGTGCAATCCTACAATATTTTTGGGTTCATTTAAATTTTCTAAAATTTGCCCCCAGTAAAAAAATGTAAAAATTTATGGATACTTTTACACTTGCATAATACTTTTGGGTCCCAAAAGTCTAATTTAATTACCGACCTAATTATGTGTTAAGTGATGAGGTCCCAATGAAAAAATCCACAAGTTGCCATTAGAATAATATTATTGGACCACATCAACCGCCACACCATTACATCATCAAACTTTAGGTGCAAATGGAATTACTCTTTATATTTTAGAAAATACCTGGGAAAAAAATTCAACATAAACCTATTTCATACTATTCAATAGCATGACTCTCAATCTCTCCTTAGACATAACCCTATAGTGTGTGCATGTCTCCCAAATACAATTAAAATCAGACTTACAATTCGAAATTCTAACGATTAAAATTATGACGATTAAACCTAAATATCGACGGATCTACATGTTTGCGATAAAGTTATATAGCCTTAGCACCATAGTTTTAATTTAACAATGAGTTAGAGATTGTTGCTACTGCACAAAAGTCCTGGCTACACCCCTGCTTAAGAGTTCTAAGAGTGTATTCTTCCAAAAACACGAAAGACTTGGTTGATTCACCAATCGTTTGATATAATTTGTTCCTGCTGATGCAAAGATGGGAACAAGCATCCTTAGATGATACCAGAAAGTGTACAACACGTTTAATGAGACATCACATCACAGACATAAACATTACACATTTATTTTTTAAAATTTTCACTGGTAGTTAATTTGACTCCCAATGTAAGTTAGCCATCTACTTCATGTACGCACAGATTAAAAAACAACAGATTACAACAATGAACCCACACCGTGAATTCCGGGAAATAGTTTTGCTTCATGCAAATAAAAAGTGACCATGCAAACTGTTTATCTTTTTTCCCCAACAGAATACTGGACATCCTTTTGAACAAATGAAGATATACTGATATGGATTCTGCATCACACTTTGATTTTGGCATTCACCAAGGTAATAGCAATTTTCCAGAGTTGAGTGATGTTTCTTTCAGCAGGTAACCAAAATCAATTAAGGAAATCAAGTTGCAAAAATGATAAAAACTTACGTGACAACCCAATTCCGGGTAAGATCTTCCCATTTCCCAGAGTCAGATGGTTCTTGTATCTGCGATCATCAACTGCAGCAGCAACAGACACTATCCATGGACTATAAGACAACAATGTTTTGGGAAAAGGACCTCCATTTCCAGCTGCCTGAGCAACAAACACCCCAGCTTTCACGGCTGAAAGAAGAGTAGCATCAAACGGGTTTAAAAATGTTGTCTTCGTAGTGGCTGGAGGACTATTAGGCCCCACCGATAGATTGAGGATGTCAACACCATCATGAACAGCCTGTTAAAAAGCAGAGGACTTAAATACAGGCAGTAAAACACAGATATATTCAAAAGAATGTCAAACCAATTGATAAAAGAATGTCAAACTAACACAGCATAGTACAGCTTTCAACAAGAAAAAGTAAAAAATTTCATCTTCTTTCTACAACAATATAAGCAAAAAGAGGTGGTGGTGTCATTCTGCGTATACAGGAAGAAACCACGTCATCACAAAGTAATCAAGATATTTTTTCCCCAAGGGAGTCAAAATAGATATATAAACAAGAGATGCTTTATTATGTGACAGTAATTTCAGAGTATATTCAAAACAGATTTTGTCTACTTTGATGTGGCAAGTAGTTTTGGGAAACGTGCAAATGCATTCACACTCATCATGAAGATTGTTGGAAGACAAGCCAAAAAGCAAATGTGGACAATTTCTTCATGAAGGGATGAGTTAAACTTATACTCGGTTCTCTCAATAAATGAATCATATAAGCCAGCTACAGAATTCCATCCATTTGAAACCCAAAAAGTAAATGTGGACAATTGCTTCAGGAATGGAGGAAGTAACTTATAATCGGTTATTGATAAATGAATCATATAAGCCAGCTGGGGAAATTCACTCCATTTGAAACAGATACGCAAGAGCCACACCCAACTAAACATTCTCCACAATGAAGCAAAAACCTTGTACGTAACTGAACCAAATCAGTCCAGCAAAATGTCAGTAGGGTGATATTACTCAAACCCAAGGGAAAAAAGTCCAGTTTGTCCAACTGAAAAGCACAAAATACCCCCTGCGCTTGAGATCTATGACTCACACCAAGGAAAGCAGTATTTCATGTCAAACAGCTTAAAACAAATAGTCTGATCAACTTCAACAGCCTCCCCCATGGCACGTGACTGCTTTTAAGTCCTGATATAGTTCTTTCCCTAAATCATTTCCTTACAACCAGCACATACATACTTGAGGCAAAGCAGTATCAGTTCCTGTTCAGAAACATGATCTCACTGTGAAGAGACCTATCCAAATAAAAAAATTAGATAGACGTGTTGGTTTATATACTTGAAGAACCACTCAACCCATTGGTAATTATTTTTGGGGTTGGACGCTCTACTATGGTATCATAGCTAGGCCTTAGGTAGTAAGTAGGCTAAGTTTCTCACTCAGTTGAATTCCTCAATCGTTTATCTGTCTGTTTTGGACTTTTGGTTCCACTCTAGTCTATTTTTCTATCTGTTTCAGTTCTGTTTGTCAATCCACGTGCAAGTCCGGGTTGCTCGTGGGAAAGTATGTGTAAGACCCAAAATTAGTTTATATGCTTGCGGGGGTCTCCACCCATTACCAAAAGCTGTGACACTCACCGTCTAGACTTAAACTTTCATTTGTCTTTGAGCTAAAAAGTTTCATCTCCTATGGTTTTAACTTTTAACAACCGGAACCAAAATCTATCATAGTAGAATGGAATCTCATTTGGATTGGGTTTAGTGACGTTGTCATACAAGTTTAGTAATGTCTTATAAAGGAATCATCAATACGCAAGTGTGTTGATAAAGAAGACAAAGGCTTAAAGCACATGCTATCTATGAAGTAGACAACAAGTACAACACCCCATTGTACAAAATACTAGAAAGGAAACTACAAAAAGAAACCATTGTAAAAGGAGAGAAGGGATTGAAAAAATCAATAATTGAGAAGCCCAATTATTTTTATACTAAAAGCCCACATAGCTAAATGGCATAGCAACAAAATTTTACATTGACAAAGAAACTTAAAATCAGCAGAAATAATCCTATTGCTGAAGCAAAGAGGAGTTGTTTCCAAGACTTCAGGGCTAAAGCTACAAGATGCTCTGGACCACTTATAAGATAGCCAAGACCCAGTATACCCCCAAGAAGAATCATATACACCATAAAGGAAATATAGAGACAAACTAAAAATACATGGTTGATAGTAACTAACAGCTCAAGTTTAAGCTATGCTACATGCAAAACCTTGGCTTATTTCAATGCACAACATCAACAAGTATCACACATAATTGCTAATGGATAGCAGCATACCTGCTCAATTGCAGCTACTACATCTGCAACAAACCCCCCAAAAAGCCTGTAGAGAGCCTTGTACACAGCAATCCTAAAGACAGAAGAATAAGCAATTGCTATTGAAACGGCTAGTTTTGAGGGAAAGGGTGATCAAATTTTGGTATCAAATCTATCATCAAAACTCACCTGGCACGGGGAGCCATTCCACTAGCTTTTCCAAATTCAAATCCATGCATTCTAACAGGAATCCCATTATTTCCAGCTGCAATAGCCGCTGTATGACTGTAAACAAAAAAGGGAAAAGAAAAGTAAGCAAAATATGACAGTCAGGCAGTAAGAGTTGAAAAGACAACTGAAACGCAACTTGAGAAAACACCGTCATGAAAAATTCCTAGAAATACAAAGCAGTTGAAGTCAACAAATATTTAGCAATCTATTTGTACCTTCCCTCTAGAGATAAAAACACGAATAAACTTAAATAGCAAAGCAAAAAGGAAACCAAACTGGAGAGGAGATGATCACATACATTTAAATATAAATCTAGGACTACCTAAAACTAATATCCTACAGCATGGCCCTGACTTTAAAAAGTTTCAGTTCATCTTATCAATTTTCCCAACAATCCCAAAATTCCAGGCCCTACATTGTTGTTATTTATAGAAACACATTCAATGATAGAATAAAGTCGCTTCATATGAAGCGGCACAACCGCAGATACAGCTACTAGGAAATCCAAAAGAATTTCAGAGATATTAAGCATGGGCATGGCAAAACCCTATAGAATTAAACTAAGACTATTAAGGGGTATGGGCTCTAACCTTCCATGTCCATCACCGTCGCAGGGAGATGCAAAATCTATGGCAGGATTGAATGCCCCAGCTGCAATTGCAGCTTCTGCAAAATGTTGGGCTCCAATAATCTTTCCATTGCAGAAGTCCCTTTTGGTGTCAGGATCAACTTCACATTTTCCTCTGTACTTTGGAACCGGCCCGTAGGGTTCAGTATTGTGGGTGGCAAAGCTTGGATGGTGTGGATAAATCCCTGAATCCACAAGGCCGATCACAATGTCCTCTCCCGCCCTGTCAAAGCCACCTCCTGTCGGCCATACTCCAGTTGGAAGGCCCAAAAATTGTGGGGTGTGTGTTGTAAGCCTCCTCACTTTCCAATCTCTCTCGACAGATCTCACACCAGGGGCTCGTTGAAGAATATCTGCCTACTAATATATTAAGACTGTGTAAGAAATGGAAATGCAAAGGGGACTGTCGATGAATCAGTCCAGAAAATTAAACAAGAGAAACTCTATCTATAGTTCTAGCAAAAAGGAATAGTCCAGGTGACCTGCTCAGGAGAAATGTGAACTGCAAAACCATTAATAAGATGTCGATAGCTGTACAGTTTTTTATATGTCCCAAGGTCAAACAGCATGGCGAGAAGCATATCATGTTTCTTCTCAAGGTGGCGGGAGTAAGATGTAACCACTTCACTGATACAAGGTCAAAAAATAGAGGACACAAAGTCAGCAAGCGCAGTGAGTCTCAAGATCAAGGTAACAACAAAAGAACACACTCACACAAAAACGAAGGATGTGTTAATCTTTAATGCAAGCGTACAGTCTTTGCCCATAGGACATGGCCAAATGGGGGAGCGTATCTCTTAATTTTTTCTTCCTCACTTCGCATCACAGGGAATGTGAAAATTCCTTTGTATCTTTGAATACTTAAGCCTACTAATATAAAACACCTGATTGCCACGGCTTAAGTGCTAGATGCATTATTCTTTTCTAGGAGTTCCATTCTTTTTTCTTCTTCTACGAAGGAAAATTCTGGAAATAATCAACCTCAAGAAATCCATGCATTTTAACAATTTCTTAACTGAAAGATTTTTTTTTGCCCAATAGGAGGACCAAATGACATAGTTGTGAAAGGTGTTCAAGCAGCTAACTGCCCTACTGGCTGCCTAAGCGCCACAAGTAGGATTCAAGTGTGCATCCCATAAAATGTCTAATCTCCAAGTATTGCTGTTAAACCAATAAATAACATTATATTTCTTGCAATCATACCGTGCACATTGCAAATTATGTAACGCATTCCACAAGATAGAGCCTGATTCTAATAGTAGTTCTATTACCAGAAATCAGAAACAATAGGGATACAAAAGGATTAATGAGGAGTTGAGCACCCAGCCACACCATCTTGATTATATATAGGTTAGTCTCCTATTATATAGATAATATTGTTTGTTCTTCAAAAAACCTAAAAACATGCTATCTGTGTGTAGTCATTAAACATTTATTTACATTACACATAACTATTAATCAATTCATAATATGTTTAATTTGTTTAGGCTATTGCCTAACTACTCACAATAAGTTAAACTTCAGTAAACCACTTGGAATGAGAATCAGCTAAAGAATGCACTTATGCACATACAAAATTTTTTATAAGAAACGAAACTTAAATTAATATAAATATAGAGTTCATGGAAGTGGACAAGAATTCCACCCCATGAAAGGTAAACAAATAGAAAAGAGCACGAAATACAACAAATAATCACAATATCAAATCAAGATAGGGCTTAATGAAAATTCATCAAACAACAACCCTTAATCCAATTAAAACTAATGACAACCAGAGGTAAATCCTCAAACTCCTTCACTGTTGAAACCCAAAGAGAAGCATACAAAATGTATCACGGTATTTAGACTATCACTGTTCGAACATCCAATTGCTTGACCTTCAATGATAACTCAGATACCAATAGCATCTCCAATAATAGGTCTCTATTCCCTCTTAATTTCTCTATTTTAGAGAGTCAACCACTACAACTACCCTCCAATAGCCTCCCTAGTATAAAAGATAAAATAGAGCCCAATTTGTCTCTCAACGTTTGGTGAGTAAACTTACTATCTACTTTAGGATTTTTTACTAAAAATGGCATATGTATCGTTTTCATTAACGGTTATTCACAATAAAAGCAGAAATGCTATTGGAGTTTTGTACAAAAATTTGCTTGCTGTTAATGGAGAGAACTATCGCCGATGCTATAAGCTGAACCTCGACAGACTTAAGCATCACTTTGTCTACACTGACAGGGATTCAAAGTCAATCGTATAATAAAATGTAAAACATATGTGAAAATCACAAAATGTTTGAGGGTATAGGAAAATATTTCATCACATGACCCCACAAGCACTGGCTGATCATAAAAAGGTGACCTGACAGCGAAGGTTCAGAATACATTTGATTTTCTGATGGAAAATAGCACACCTGGTGACATCAAGCTTCTCATCGGACTCCACGGCAGTGGCATCAAAACCAGCGACACCACCTTTATAACTTATCACAGGCTCTCCTTCAACTGTCACTATGTAAATTTCTGTCTTCCCAATGATCAAAAGGGTAAATAAAATTAAAATTCCAAACCCACATTCTGTAGCCCTCATTGTCACTGACCCACCTCCAGCAACAGCAGCCCACAAATCTGTTCCATTCATGTCAGAAACAGTCAAATGTAAGCCAAGCATAACCATTGCAGTGATCCTAAAAGAGACTCAAATATAAGCCAATCAAAGCTTATTTTCTACCATTTTTTGCTAAAGAAACTAAACTTTCCCTGCTAAAGAAAATTAGATGGCTGGACACACAAACCCAATGAGAGAAAGAGCGAGAACAGAGAGAGGGGATAGAGAGAGAGAGAGAGAGAGAGAGAGAGAGAGACTAACGGCAGACTAAAGGGGGTTTATCGGTGTATCAGAAACACGTTAAACCTGAAGAGAATATGTGTGTGGGTGGGAGGGTGGGAGAAAAACAAAGATTATACAGAGAAGAAACAACAACTCAAATCAACTGAAAACAAGTAAATAGGAGATTAAATTTTACCAAAGCAATGCCAAGTTGATACAAACTTCTAAGTATCTCTCTCCCCTTCCCCCTCTCACTCACACTTACTCCATGCCATTAAACGTTACAATGGTAAACTCAAATACACTAACAGATATATACCTACAAACCAAACAACCCAAGCAAGGTATCAGAAATCTAACTCTGACCTCACTTACTCAGCCGTAAAAAACAAAATCAAATCACATCAAATCAAACCCAACAAAAAGTAGTGAAAAGCCAAGATCTTTACTCGCATTGATCCAAGAAAGGAATCAACAATACCTTTATTCTTCCACAATATTTTCACATTCGAATCAGTATCCCCCCAGTCATACAACTACATTTGCCTTCTTCAGCCTCTATAAAGATCAGTATCGCATCGTCTGCAACCGAAAGTGCACAGGATTTCGAGGAGAGAGAGAGAGAGAGTGGAGTGGAGGTTGTTGGGGTTTTCACTTTAAAGACGCGGTAGACAAGACAGCGAAGATGGAGGAGTCTCATTGAAATCATTTGATTTTTATTTGGTAAAAGCTTTTGGATTATTTAATTAAAAATCGTTTAATTATGGTAAGTACCACAACATTTGTTTAATTAAATATGATTAAATTTTTCTCAGAGATTAAATTATTATTATTTTTCAATATTGCAGTCAAGAAAGAGAGAATAAAAAAATCGGAGCATTCAAGTGTTTCCTGTCGGATCCATTTCTCATTTATGGGTGCTTATTTCAACGGGCGGATGTATTTAATTACGCAGGTAGCCCTAGTTTTTTATTATAATGTCATTGTTGCCCCTCAAAAAACTATTTTTTTTTTGGGGGTGGAGGGGGGGGGGGTGGTTTAGTGGCAAGTTGCCGTGTAGTCTTTGAAGAGAAGATTAATGTGAATAAGCTTTTTCTGATATCATGTAAATAGAGGAACAGAGAATATATCAAATTGTTAAATTCGTTTAATATTTAAGTCGAGTCAGAACAATATTACACTCGGTTCGATAGAATTGTTTTATTGTTTCATCGAGCTTGAACTCAATTTATCAGCATATAAACAAGCAAAATTGAGGGAGTAAGAATCCAAGTTCAATAATGGAACTCAAGCTTACAATTGTCAACTCAAGTTAAACTTGAGTATATCAAAACTTGAAACACACTCCTATATTATTCCTTCTACCTGAAACCTTCAATTTGAATCAAGTTTATTTCAAATTCATACCAAATCATTTAGTTGACAGACTTGATAAGTTTATCCATAAATAACTCAAGTTTGTCAAGATTAAATCTCAAATTTTTTTAACTCCTTGTTGATTTCTGATATGGGTAGAATTTCCAATAATAGATATAATGGAAGTTCGAAACGTGTGAGTAATGCAAGCTCATAAATCAAAGGTCAAAAAAGATATAATGGAAGTTCGAAACGCGTGAGTAATGCAAGCTCATAAATCAAAGGTCAAAAAAGTTTTGGATTGCTTAACCTAGAAGAAGGGTAATTCAACAGCAAGTCATGTGCATATCCAAATGGATAGAGCAATACTATATGAATTAAAAAAATAAATCTAAAAAGTAGAATTGATAATTATAATCATTGATTTTATTGTGGATTTCAGTATTTATTGAAATTCAATAGTTTTTTTTTTTCTGGAATCATCTATTTTTTAAATTTATGTAAGATTACTTCGAAATGGACATGGGTCTGGAGTCTACACAACATCTGATGCTCAACTTTATGTGACACGGAAGTGTATCAAATTTGATTTTCCTACCTTTTCCCATTGGGAATGAGATAGCTGGCATTCTAGACTCTTTTTTATTTAAAGAAGAATGAGATTCTCAAGTGTTTTTTTTTTTTTTGGCAATGTGGAATCGTCCAAATTAAGCTTTCCTCAAACTTAAGACTTCAATGAAAACCTTAAACATATGATTAAACTCAAATATTTTTTATTTATAAAACTCAGACATAGTACGTGCGAATTTATGTTACAACTCTTATTCACCCACTAAATTAATATGGGTGGGTTTCCTTTAATTTTTAGTTTTTTTTTTCAATTACAGGGTGTTTAAGTTTGTGTCGATTACTTTCTCGAATTCTAAGTCGGCCGTCATAATTCAAGTTAGTTTAAGGACATACCCCATGAAAAACAAGGATGACTGAACCGTAAAAGATGTAGGAAATATGAAACCTGAGACCTATTTCTTATAAGAATGCAGACATGACCAGTGGATCACCTTAATAGTGTAATTGGTTGAGTGGATGAAAAATAAAAGAATGAAAAATTTGAGTAATACACTTTCCATCTTTCAACATGTGAATCATTATTTTCCTCTTTTGTATTTTATAGTAGAGATGAGAAGTAGGAATTATGAATTTTTTGTGTGTTTGGTAAGATTAAAAAAATATAAATATATATTTATCGTTATATTTGTATCTAATATTAATGTATACATAATATATAATAGATAAAAATGATATATACATATATTAAATAATATATAGGTAAATAGCATATATTAGCAAAAATAAAAATAGAAAATACTCTAGTTTATTCAGTAAGTTATTCCCGATAAATGAACATAAAAAATTATACTCAATACATAAGACTCCTCCTTGATAAGAAAATCTGGATAGAAACAATGGTACAAAATTTATTCTAATTTTGATGAGGCTGATTTTTGAATTTACCTCAATTATAATAAATTTTAATGATACATACGTTTTCTTGTGATTTTGGTACTCTGTTTTTTGTGCAATTGATTTTTTTTTTTTTTTTTTGTTGCTGTTGCTTTCTGAGCACCATGTGAGAGACGCCCCCACCAGAGTTGTCTTTTTCTTTATACAGCACATGTGACTTTGAGTAAGACCATGTTCGGGATAGGGAAATGTATTAATGATTCTCCCAAACATGACATTCAATACAAAAGAAATGATCTCATTTTCATGTTGATGTGACACCTCCCAAGACAAAATGGCTGACAATGGAGCCGAGAGGTCGAGTAAAATTCTTTAAACTCGTATTTTAAATAAATTTAAAAAATTATTTAAACTCAACTAATTTAAAAATATGAGTCAAATTTAAATCGAGTTCTATCAAAATTAAGCCCTCACTGAATTATCAGTCTTACGCACAATCCCTAAAGTAATACTCATTAGTAATAAGACCATGGTATTGAAATTTATTTTAATTGTGATTGTTGATTTGTGAATAATAATAAAATAAATTGTAATAACAAAATAACAAAACTCTACATGTGTCGTGTGGTTGTTGGAGAATAAACAAAAGTACGGTATTGAGAAGTAACTTGTAGATGTATTGATAAAAATAAGTTTTGTTAGTATGAAAAAAAAATATTTATTATAAAAAGGCCAAATCTAATACACCACGCTCTTATTTCTAAATAAAATTAGAGAGAGATAAATGATAAATTACCCATACACCCATTTTTGAAGATATTCATACTACACTTGAACTTGGGACATACTTGAAATGGATAACATTTGTAAGTGCAGCATATTCGATAAATTTCAAAAAGAATTATTAAATTTGCTCATTAAATTACCGTAAACTATCATATCAATAGATTCTATTAATTTTTCAACGAGACCCGTTAATCTAATGGTTCAGTTGATTTGATAAAAAAATTTAGCCACCACATTTTTTGCTCTAATATCCACTAGTCGGGTAGTTTTGATTGTAATTCACTGTAACACTAACATTTATTATACTTGCTGGCTTTTAATGCTCTCACCAATCAAACGGTTAGGATTGATGATTTACTTGAATGTTTTTTTTTTAGTAATATTATTTGGATTTAAAAATTTGATCTAATTTGCTAACATGATGATGTGACTTAATTATAACTGTTGAATTAACACCAAATTCTAAAATTTAATAGGATTTGTCATCAATTCAATGATTATAATGAATTTTGTCTCAATAACATTGTTTTTTTTTTTTGTACGCACTATTTGTGTGTGTGTGTGTGTGGAGAGTAGGTCCGATAGTCAAATGAGCTTGAACTTGAGCTAGTGTTTTTTTAACCAATTTAAAAAATTGTTCAAATTTGGTTCGTTTTAAATGAGCGGAGTGAGTCTGCCCTAATAATTGCACATAAATGAGTTAAACATGTCGAGTTTGAGTCAAATTTTTTTAAACGGGTCTAAAAATTTATTCAAATTTAACTCATTTATAAAACGAGTCGAACTTGAAAGAGCTGAAATTAACGAGCCAAGCGGAGAGAGAGACATAGAGAGAGGGGATGGAGCCATGTTGTGGTCCAAAGGGACATGGTCCCCCTCATATTTTTTAAAATACCACAGACACCTCATAAATTTTGAAAAAATTTGATGTTTCTTTTTAGGTTTTGAAAAATTATGTATAAGGTACCTCACTCACCCACTCACTCAGTATATTTAATCAACTTAATGGTCCGACATTTAATACTCAGATGCGGCAAATTGAAATTACGTTGTTGTTCGTACATAAGAAGAAGACACTTACTTGGACAAGTTTAATAATATAAATAAATAAACCAAGTTGTTGCAAATTGAGTTATAAACGTGACTAATATCCCACAGAAAATGCATTGGTTCAAAAAATAATTTATTTTTTCAAATTAATAATAACCTAATTGTAATCTACGGTATGTCATAAATACGGA